CCGGCGCGCGCGCCCCTCGCGGACGCCGCCAACCGCGCCCGACGCCGGGAGCCGAGCAGGACGACGGGACGCACACCGCGCACGCCGGTGAGGCGGGGCGTCCCACTACCTTCGCGGCAGCCGCGCGAGGGTCCGGACGTTGTGTGGTAGAGACTTTGACCTGCGCTTTGGTGGCCACTGCAGGTGTACACGGCTGGGCACTAACTGAACGCCCCTGCGCGGGTAGGCTCGGGCCTCCCAGCAGGAACAGAAAGACCCCGCAACCAGGATAAGTTCCTCGGCCTCAGTGTTTCCGCCTGTAAAATGGGTCCCCCGACTGCATGGGGGCGCCAGGCTCAAAGTAGGTGCTCAGTGTGCGCTGATTGAATGCATTAGTGTTCACACAGCCATTAGCACCGAGCCTGACCCAGGGAAACGATGTCTGCTGATGCTGCGACTGACTCCCTCACACCTGTTATTCCCTGTAATGTACTGACATTGTTATTACTTCTATTCTTATTACTACTGACAACATAACTTCTGACACTATAACTCCTATTACTATTACTACCACTACTTCTATGGTGTTTGCTGCTGCAGTTGAGGCCCCTGACACTGTTATTCCCATTACTGCTATTATAGACACTACTATTACTCTTTCGGGAGCTCTGGTAGCGTAATGCCTAAGGCACTTGACTGCTAACCAGAAGGCTGGCGGTTCAAACACACCAACCACTCCTCGGAAGGAAGATGGGGCAATTTACTTCCTTAGTGATACTGCCTCGGCAACCCAAGGAGGGGTCGCTATGAGTTGGGTCCGACTCGACAGCACATAACAACAACATTACTCTTATTATTACTGCTAATTATCAATGTTGTTACTCTTACTACTAGTAGTAACGTTATTACTACTGCTGCTGCTGACACCACTGTTACTGCTGTTACTGCCATTACTACCATGGTGTTTGCTGCTGTGATAAAGGCCCCTGACACTTGTTACTCCCATTATTACTACCATCTACACCATTGTTGTTATTACTACTATTACTTGACACTGTTATTACTCCTGTTGCTGCTCTGACACTATTCCTACTCCTACTAATACTATGATGTTGGCACCTGTGACTGATGCCACTGTCACTATTTTTGTTCCTATTACTATTCCTACAACCTTTGTGCTACTAGTGACACTATTATTACCTATATTACTCTTCTTATTACTATTACTGCTACCATTACTGGCAATGTTATTGCTCCTATTATTCATATCCTACTACTACTACCACTACCACTGCTACTATAGTGTTTGCAGCTGCAAGTGACACCCCTGGTGCTATTACTAGTCTTATTACTGCTGCTACTGATACTGTTATCACTTCTATTACTGCCGATACTTATTACCTCTATTACTGCTAACTGCTACTATGATTGCTGGCACTGTTGTTACTCCTGCTACTACTACTGTTGTTGTTATTATTCAGAGACAGAACATAGAAAAATGCTTGGGAACACTTGCCCCAGACTGACATCTAGGCCTGGCCGCCCACTGGCTGTGTGACTGGGTACAGGTGACTTCACCACTCCAAGTCTAGCATTCCCTTGGCCACAAAAAGGACATTAGGATGGTGGTGAGGATTAACTAAGCTACCATGTACTCTTCATTAAGTACATAGGAGGGAAAGTTCCTTGAGGACAGGGCTTGGCCTTGTTCAGAATGCTCTTAGCAACATGGAAAATAATGCCCACACATAATAGATGCTCAGTAAAAGGCTTTCAGAGCCTCTAAGGCCCAGGTCAGTGTCTTAGCTCTCTAGTGCTACTATAGCAAACACCACAAGTAGATGGCTTTAACAGAAATTTATTCTCTCACAGTTTATTGTTATTGTTAGGTGCCGTCCAGTCGTCTCCAGCTCATAGCAACGCTATGTACAACAGAACGAAACACTGCCCGGTCCTCGCCAGCCTCCACAGCCTCTCACAGTGTAGGAGGCTATAAGTCTGAATTCAGGGTGGCAGCTCTAGGAGAAGGCTGGCTCTTTCAGCTCCCAGTTTAGGAGGAAGCTCCCTGCCTCCTTTCAGCATCTGTGGGCCTGGCATACCTTGGAGATTTCTATGTGTCTTGACAGTCTTCCTCTGGGTCTAGGAGGTTCTCAGATCAGGAATCCCAGGTCCAAAGAACACACTCTGCTCCTGGCTCTTCTTTGTTGGTGGTACCGCAGTCCCTCCGATCTGTTTGCTTGTTTAATCTCTTTTATATCTCAAAAGAGATTGACTCGAGATATAACCTAATCCTGTGTATTGCATCCTGCCTCATTAACATTATAGAGATCGTTGTTGTTATGTGCCATCGAGTCGACCCCACTCATAGTGACCCCTCCTTGGGTTTCCGAGGCAGTATCACTATGGAAGTAGATTGCCCAACCTTCCTTCTGAGGAGTGGCTGGTGGACTTGAACCACCAGCCCTCTGATTAGCAGTCAAGTGCCTTAGGCACTATGCCACCAGAGTTCCCTCATAGAGATTAGAATTTACAAAAATAGGATAATTACATCAGATCCCCAAATGGTGAATAATCATATAACTTGGCCTAGCCAAGATGACACATACTTTGCAGGACACAATTAAATCTGTAACAGTTGGTTACAGGTTTATGAGCCTTAATATCCTAACTGGGGCCTTGACTTCCTTATTTGTAAAGTGAGTTGGTGCATTCTGCTTCCCTTTCCATCCCTAGACCATGGAGTTTTCTAAATGCTCTTGTTAGCTCACAGGACTCCTAGCTGCCACATAAGCTGAAAGTTCCCAAATTTTGCAACAGTTCCTCATTTTCCAACTCTTTATCCTACCCAGAAAGTTTCCTTGTTCATTCTTTCATTTACCACCTACTGTGCACCCCTCCTCTGTCAATTTTTCATACTGTGATGCCTCGCATGTTGCTATGATGGTGGAAGTTATGCTTCCTGTATTTCAGATATCAGCAGGGTCACCCATGGTGCTTCAGCAGAGTTTCCAGATTAAGACAGACCAGGAAGAAAGGCCTGGACATTGGCTTTCAAAAAATCAAACACTGAAAACCCTGTGGTCAGATGAACAGTTAAACATAATGTGGTATATCCACAGAATGGAGTACTGTTGTGAGGGGACATGGAGTCCATTCCTCATAGTGACCCTATGTTCAATAGAAACACTGCCCATTTCTGTGCTGTCCTCACAGTTGTTGTTATTCTTGAGCCCATGGTTGCAGCCACTGTGTCAATCCATCTCATTGAGGGTTTTCCCCTTTTTCATTGACCCTCTGCTTTACCAGGCATAATGTCCTCCAGGGAGTAGTCCCTCCTGATAACAGTACATGGACAAAGTCTCACCATCCTCACTTCTAAGGAGCATTCTGGTCATACTTTTTCCAAGACAAATCTGTTTGTTCTTTTCATAGCGCCTGGTATAATCAATATTCTCCAACACCACAACTCAAAAGCATCGACCCTTCTTCGGTCTTCCATATTCATTGTCCAGCTCTCACATGCATAGGAGGCAATTGAAAACACCATGGCTTGGGTCAGGTGTACCTTAGTACTCAAAGTGACCTCTTTGCTTTTTAGAGATCTTTTGAAACAGATTTTCCCAGCACCATGTGTCCTTTGATTTCTTGATTGCTTGGTTGTAGATTCAAGTAAAATGAAATTCTTATCAGTTTGTTGTGCTGTGGTGGCTTGCATGTTGCTGTGATGCTAGAAGCTATGTCACCAGTATTTCAAATACCAGCAGGATCACCCATGGTGGACAGGTTTCAGTGGCACTTCCAGACTAACACAGACTAGGAGGAAAATTGTCCAGTGAAAACCTTATGAAGAGCAGTGGAACCTTGTCTAATGGGATACTACTCTGCCCTGAAGAGAAATGAAACCTGATTCATACACACCACAGCATGGATGAACCTTAATGTCATGCTGAGTGAAATAAGTAAGTTGCAAAAGGACAAACATTGTACGATCCCACTTATATGAAATAAGAAAATATCTAGAAACCAAAGCTCATTCATGGTTACCAGGGGTTGGGTGGAGGGAGAAGGGGGAGTTTTGCTTCGGGGCCACTGAGTTTATGTTACTTATGCTGGAATGATTTGGAAAAGGATAAGGAGAATGCTTGCATAATGTGATGAATGTAATCCATGTCACTGAACTCGAGGTGGAGAAATGGTTGAGATGTGTATGCTTTGTTATGCATATTCTCACAATTAAAGAAGAAAGCCCTGTGGAACACTGTGACACACATTGAGTCACCGTGAGTTGTAATCAACTCGATGCCAACTAGAAATTTCCAAACAAGGTCACGTTCACAGGTATAGAGGGTAGGAGTCCAGTTTATCTGTTTTAGGGGACAGGCTTCAACCCATAACAGTGGCCGACCCTGACCCCAGGCCTGTCTCACTAGGGCACTTAACTTCCTGCTGTCCTGACCCCTCTCCTGTTCCATGTCAGCCTCTCCAAAGCCAGGAAAAAGAAATTTTTCTCTCATACCAAGAGAGGTCCCTCTAGGGTAAGCAGAGGCCTTGGCCACGACAGGGACATTCCAGGGCATTGGGAAAAGGCCACAGACGAGCTTGCGGCTGCTCCTTGCAGCTCAGCACGGGCCCCTTAAAAGCCCCTCGGCCGGCTCCCACAGACGCATGCCTCGTGCCCAGGTTTTGCTG